CCCGCCCCGCACCCGAATAATTTATTTTAATTTAATTCTCTTATTTTACTTATTTTAATATTTATTTATTAATTATATTTTTAATTAAATTATTAATACATTTATTGCAATTAAAATAAATAAATTAATCAAGTTAATATTAATTTACTAATTAAAATTCTAATTAAATAAATAATTTATTTATTAAAATAATTAATTTTTTAATTAAGTTATTAATTTTTATTGTAATTAAAAATAAAATAAAAAATTTCGGGTGGGGGCGGGGCGGGTGCGGGTGCACCCGTTTTCTACTGGGGGCGGGTTTGGGTGGTAAATTTTTACCTCCGGTCGGATTTGGGGGCGGGGGCGGGTGTGTTACATGAAAGCGGGTGCGGGTGCGGGTATAGTAAAACCCGCCCCCGACCCGCCCCGTTGCCATCCCTAGCAGGGACTAAGGCAACCTATCCCTGTTCGAATATCTTAACAATTGCAACAAAAATATTTATTACATATTTAAAAAGTAAAAGTTTATTAAATATTGAAGAGGCAACCTTAAAGCTGACACTTTTAATTGTATTTATTGAGAGTGAATTTATCATTGGCCATCAAATGGAACAATTTTTCTTTTAGATAACTTTTTATTTTATCATATTCAATTTTGTTAGATTATATTTAAGAGTGGAAATAGGCTGGGTCGGTTAGACTTTGCCAAGCTTAAATTTGACCTACCAAAACAACTAAAGCTTAAGTTTGACCTATAGTCTGTTATAGGCTTATTTTTAGACTTGAGTATGGACTTTTCTAAAACTTGGTTAGTCTGTTAACCTACATAAAAGCCTATTATTTTAGACATATATCAATAAACAATTAAAATAATGTTTAAATAAACTAACAAATTAAAAAATCAACGAGACTAAAACGTTGTTTGCGTTAACTTATTTTAACTTATCTATTAACATATGTTTTGTGAGACTATTTGTTTAAGATAACTTATAAAAACAACTTATAACATTGTTTATAAGATATTTTCATCTTATTTTCATAAATTCTCCAAAATAACCAATTTTTATTTATATATTTTAATACAAAGTATAAAATATAACATAAAGGTAATAAAAAATTATACATATTTATTTAAATAGGCGGGTCTATTAGGCTTCAAAGACATTTTAGATGGCCTGATGCCTAGCCTTTTTAATTAAATAGACTTATAAAAAAAAACCTAGACCTTTTCTATTTTAAAAAAAGGTTTAGTCTGACCTGGGCATATGTAGGCTAGGCCGTAGGCCCCTATTATTGATCTGTAACTTGTTTTCACCCCTAATTATATTGACCCGTTTCAAAACATGAAAATACCATTTTAATTTTAAAGCTTAAATTATTTTTAGTCTCCTTATTTTAATTTTCTTTAGTCCCTTAAAAAACTTAACTTTTGGTCCTTCAATTTAATCTTTATTGTTTTTTTCCCTCTTCTATTTTTACATATGAAATAGTGTAGGCATAAATAAATAGGATAAAAATAATGTGACAATGGCTAGAATAAAAACTAAAATTGAAAGAATTAATTAATTTTATGATATCATTTAAATAATATCAATTATTATATTATAAAATTAAATAAAGGCAAAATACCTTTTTTTGTCCCTTAACTATACCCTTGAGTTCAGATTGGTCCCTTAATTATTTTGTGTCAGATTGGTCCCTTAACTCTTTAGAACGTATCATGTTCGTCCTTTTTGTCTAATTAGCGACGAATTTAGCGATCAAACTTTGAATTTTTTTTGTCGCTAATTAGACGAAAATGACTAACGTGATACTTTTTAAAGAGTTAAGGGATTAATCTGACATAAAAAATAATTAAGAGACCAATTTGAACCTAAGGGTATAGTTAAGGGATCAAAAAGGGTATTTTTCCTTAAATAAATTCAAATTAAATTCTAATAAATTCTTTTACAATTTTTATTTTTGAAAAAAATATTTAAATTCTTCAAAATTATGTTTTTTCTTATAAATTTTAAAAAATTATTTAATTATAAAAATTGATAAATTGTATAAAATAAAACTTTGACATAAATGAGATTTGAGCCGCCACCCTCAAGAAAACAGTTTTGCTAGGCTTGCCAACTAAGCTACAATTTCATTTGATCTTTTGTTCAAGGTTTTATATATATTAACAGAGTATAGAAGTTGCATAAAGTCAAATTCGTCGAGTAAATCTCCTACACAAAAAGAAAAACTGATTAACTAGTAAAAATCTTTAAAAAAGGCAGAAGTATTAATGGAATAACTATTGCTGTCGAGAATAAGAATTCAAAGAAACCTTTCTAGATCTTTGTAGGTTATGATCCACGTAAAGATATTGCGTTTCAAGCATGTCGTCATTCAACTATTAAAAGGTATTCAATTCAGAGGTGCTAAATAAGTTTGACATGAATAATTCGAAAGATGTGAGTATTCCATCAAAAAATCATTTTAACTTCTCATTAGATCAATGTCCAAAGACACATGCAAAAAATGAGTATATGTCAAATGTCCCTTATGTCAATGTTGTTGGTTATTTAATGTATGTTATGACCTACACTAGACCAAATTTGACACAAGTTGTAAGTTAAGTTTGTAAGTTCATGTCCAAACCAATAAAGCGTCATTGGGAAACTATCAAGTGGACTTTCAAGTACTTGAAGGGTACTTTGAGTTATGATATTATGTTTAGTAGTGAACAAAGTGATCCTTCAATTGTAGGATATGTTGATTCAAAATATGTTGGTGATATGGATGATAGGAAATCTACAACAGGGTATGTCTTTACTTTAGCAAGATGACTTATTTATTGGAAATCATCGGTTCAAATCCATAGTGAAGTGTCAGCAACTGTAGCTTAGTGCATGACGATAGGTGAACCCACCAAATAAGCATTATGGCTTACATGATTGATTAAATTATTGAGTGTTGAGAAAGGTGAAATTTGGTTGCATTGTGATAGTCAGAGTGCCATTTATTTAACAAACAATCAGATGTATCATGCCAGGACTAAACATATTGATGTTTCACAAGATTAGGGAGTTACTTGCATCTGGATATTTATTAGTTGAAAATGTCCATACTTCAGAGAATGTAGTTGATATGTTGACCAAACCAGCCATCAGTGACAAGTTCAAACATTTCATATTCTCAGTGTTAAGCGGGAGGTGTACTACCAATCATCAGGTAGAAAGTCTTCATAGGAGTTTGATATTCGGCATAGTGGAGATTTTTGACACTACTAAAAAAATCACTTTTAGTGACCGAATTAGTGACTGAAAATTTTTGGTCACCCTAGTGAACGAATTAGCCACCAAAATTAAACATCATGTTAGCAAATTTTAAAAGTCACTAAATGGTCACAAAATAAAATTAGCCACCAAATTAGCGACTGATATTTTGTAACCAAAACTTTCAATCTCGAATAATCATTTTTATATAAATTAATTCATAAAAAAGTTCAGTGACCAAAATTTCGGCCACTAATATTTTTTTTTGTTTTTTTTCATTATTAAGTTACTTCTCTTCAAATTTTTTCTCTTTTTTATTTTAGTCAAAATTTTACATTTTTCTTATTTTTTTTAACAAATAAAACATATATTTATATAAATAATTAACTCATACAAATTTATTAATTTAAATAAAATATAATTTTAATGATAATTAGTGTAATAATATTTTTAAATAATATTTAAAATTTTTATTTCGTTATATATATATATATATATATATATATATATATATATATATATATATATATATATATATATATATATATATATATATATATATATATATATATATATATATATATATATATATATATATATATATATATATATATATATATATATATATATTAAATGTAAATTAAATAACTAAAACAAAATGGCATAGTGGATATAGAAAAACCATGCAAAGGAAAGAATATTGATTTGATTCTCGTTGGAGACAAAAACTTTTTTTTTAGTTTAAGTTCTTTAAACAACTGAAAATGGTTGCTAAAATCAGTCACTAATTATGAGTTTTTCAAGAGAATTTATCTTAACCATTGAATTGATAATAATAAAGGGGTAAGATTTAGTGTCAAATTAATATTTGACATAGGTGTCAAATGATCCCTTTCCATATAAGTGGAGATTAACTTACTCTAAAAGTACATTTTTTTAACTTTCTCTACATCATAGCTTTTAAATCGAATTTAATCTAATGGTTAAAATAAAATTTTTATCTATAATCATTTGATGAAATCTAATTTAAAAGTTATGATTGTCGAGTAAGTTAAAAAAACTCACTCTTAAAATAAGTGGATTTTCAATGAATATATATATATATATATATATATATATATATATATATATATATATATATATATATATATATATATATATATATATATATATATATATATATATATATATATATATATATATATATATATATATATATATATATATATATATATATATATATATATATATATATATATATATATATATATATATATATATATATATATATATATATATATATATATGATTTGTAACATTGAAATTCTAATAAATTTAAAATACATAAATAAAAATGAATATACCACTGTATAATCGCAGAGGTGACATCATTGACCAAACTGTATTAACAAATATCCATCATATCCATTATTTTTTAATTTTTTTTTTATTGTTAATTTTTTATACCGGTTATTATTCTAATAGAAATAAAACTCATTTTTCACCCGTGAATGACTTTTTGCCCTAATTAGTTTCTTCAATAATATGATATGGTAACTTGTACTAGAAATTAATTTTGTAAGATTCTAGAATAAATTACTCATGAATAAAACAAAATTCATAAAATGATAAATAGAAATTGTATAATATAAATGAATCATTCCAAACAACAATGAAAACAATAAATTACCCTTATGATATACTACTTACTTCTTGCACATAATTTTCAACAATAATGTAATGTATGATCAAACAAAGTTCAATCTCTCACTATTGCCATGTTACTGCAATAGGACTTCTAACTTTATATTTGCCAGAAACCCAAATGAGTGATCCAAATGATGAACTACCAATAACTCTTGTTTTTCCAACTGCTAAAAATGTTACTTTATAGCTTAATTTCTCACCTAATTTTTCAAACTTCAATTTCCTTGGTTCAACATTAACAACAACTCCATTAGGTTCTTCAACCTTAACTTCATAGTAACCACTTTCTGATTTTCCAACATTTGTAACAACTCTTTTATATGTTACATTCTGCACTGTTCTGCTAAACAAAACAGAAAATGAAGGATAATTCAAGTCACCAACTTGAACATCATGTTTTTGAGAACATGTGAAGTTAGTTTTTGTCAATATAGCGATTTCGGAAGAGGTAAAGTTAAGGCTGCAAAAGTAATTCAAGTAGTCATTGGTGTTAATATCATAGACTAATCCAGGATCAGAAGCGCTTTCTGGATTAACATGTCCTGAACCAAATGCAAAAGGGTTAGCAGAAGCTGAGACATTATTTGAAGCAAGATCGGAAATCGGGAGATTTTTGTTGTTCAATGTGTAAGCTGTTGTCATAAGAGATGACTTGATCATTGCAGGTGACCAGTCTTTATGAACTGATTTAATCAACGCTGCGATGCCGCTAACGTGAGGACAAGACATTGAGGTACCTGAAACTATGTTAAATAGGACTCTTCTTTTGTCAGTTTTGATCATACTTGGACTTGTTTTTGATGGCCATGCAGCTAAGATGTTAACACCAGGCGCAGTTATGTCTGGTTTGATAACATCTTGTCCTATGATACTCGGTCCTCTAGAAGAAAATGCTGCCATGATTGGTGCAATGTTACCATATCTTGTTCCTAGAAATGAAATTGAAGCTGTTGGATTTTTTGTAGTGTTGAGGTAGATTCTTAGAGCTTTACCTGCTGAAGCGCCTAATGAAGTTCCTGGTAAGACGTGAGCGTCGGAAAGAAGCTCTTCGCCTTGATTTTCTGAGTTGAGTAGTATCATTCCGTATCCGCCTGATTTTTTCACTACCTCTCCTTTTTCAGTTCTACCATTGATTCCTCTTTCGCAAACGACGATTTTTCCGAAAACAAGTGTTTTATCCAGTGAGCCTTTTGTGCAAAACATTGCTTCTCTCTTTTTACCTGCTGTTGTTCCATGCACAAGTGGGAGTTGTTGGTTTGATTGGTTTTTTGTTTGATACAATGATGTTCCTTCAAATGTTTTTGAGTTACCAAGTTTCACTTGTGTTGGAAAAGTTCTGTCAATGTAGCTAGCAGCAACGGTCATGATCCACGGTGCGCCGTTTCCGACTGTTGATGTAAAAGGGCCTGAGTTGCCTGCTGAGCAAGAAACAAAAACACCGTTTTTCGTTGCTCCGAATGAAGCTATAGCAATACTGTCATTATAAAAAGGTTTCGGAATACTTCCTAAAGATAGCGAAAGTACATCAACACCGTCGGAAACCGCTTGGTCCATGGCTGCTAATAGATCGGAATTCGCGCAGCCAGAAAGCCAGCACACTTTATAAGCCGCGATTCTTGACGTATGCCTCATTCCAGTGGCTGAGCCTTTAGCAAGTCCAAAAATGTTTGCATTTTGAACCACATTACCGGCTGCGGTCGAGGCAGTGTGAGTTCCATGCCCTTGAGTATCTCTAGCAGAAAGATAATCGGTCGTTTCATTGATTTTTCCAATGAATTTTTCGTACCCTTTGAAATAGTATCTTGCACCAATAAGCTTCTTGTTACAATTTGAGGATGTGAATTTTGTGCCTTGTTGACAAACACCTTTCCATTTACGAGGGATCGGGGAAAAGCCCGAGTCTTTGAAACTGACGTGTTCAGGCCATATTCCCGAATCAAGGACACCGATGATCACATCGGAGGCCAAACTCGAAGCACTCCAAAGTCCTTTTCCATTTGTTAGGCCAAGAAAACTTGGTGTATGTGTCGTATCGAGGGTTGATAGTTCATCAGGTATGGCCGAAAGAAAACCATCAATTTGGTTCAAGTGTTTAAGTTGTTTCTCAGAAAGTGTGGCTGCAAAACCAAACATGTTGGTTTCATAGGCATATAGAAGCTGAGGTGATAAAATATCTTCTAGCTCTTCTCCCTCCATTGAAGCTTGAGTAATGAAGTCAATGACTGATTCAGACCATGTTTTTGCGCTGTCTTGAGAATGAATTGAGCCTTCAATTTTGGTCTTGTCCATGTGGACTATATATGTTTGTTGCACCGCAAGCGCAATTGAATTCGTCGCCATAAGAGCCACGAATAAAAACACTCTCCTAAACATCATGATGCCTACAAAACAAAAAGGAAGAAATCAATTCATAGCCAGTATTAGGATCTAAATATATGTATATCTATGATTAAGAATCTTCTAATGCAAGAAACATAAAAATAGGAAAAAGTACTAGAAGCATTTTTCAAATCGGTTTATAAACCCATCACAAGCTTATTTAGCAGCCGAATTAAAAACCAGTTTAGCGAACGATTCGAAAACTCAGTCACTAAATCAATCACAACTATGCAAACATACTATATAAAGCAATGAGATAGAAAAACAAATATTTTTTTGAGGTAGTGCTTAGTACCTATGATGGACATAGCAAAAGCAATGAGACAAGGAATAATACTAATAAACTCATTACATAAAATCTTATATAAGCTCTAAAAGTGACTTTTTTACATATGCTCATTGCTATTAAAGAAAGTAGTTGTTACCTTCACTTTACTTTTCTTCTACTTCAAGACTTCATTTCTCAGCAATTCAAAGATCTGTAAATGTGTATATATAGAAAGTCTAACAATGTGGCATAATAGCATTGGCTATCACATATAGAAACACTTTCTCAGTGTTTATAATAATTACAGTAAGCACTTGTTCCAGTGTTACTTTTATAGCACGCTTCCATTTTTAGAACCCTTTCTAAGTTTCATTCATGACATTCATTATGGGATGGCAACAGATAAAGGAACTTTCATATTTCATATGACAGTGTTGCTCATTTATTTCAAGTTAGTTGAATCACATGGAAGTTTGTTTCAAACTGAGTTTAGAATAAAGTTTTTTGATATATTGTCATTAAAATGTTCACATTTTCTTCATATTATGGTTGCCAATGTCAGTGCTAGTTATAGTGTTCACATTATTGCTAAGGAAATTAAATGTGTCAGCAATGGAAGACGCGTTGTTGTTAAGGAACCAACAGTTTGAGACATTAAGGTATGGGTGCCACCACCAATTTTGTCATTTTTAGTACTATGATCATTACAATGTGACTTGCAATATCTTAAACATTTGTGTACTTTGAGTCTTATTTAAGGCACTCTTCTTTTCTCAGTCCATACATTCTATACCTTTATTATAATTGGCTAGAATTGGAATATCAATGATGAACAATTAGTTTGGTCCCTAGGTGTGTTTTTCTATTAGTATTTTTCAATCAATTGGACAAAAGTATTTCTAAGTGTGTTTATTGAAAATTCATGGAATTAAATTATGTAAGAGCATTTATTGAAATTCATGGAATTAACTAAGGGTAAATTGGTCTTTTTACATGGGTATTATTTAAAGAGAAAAATGAATTGAGAGAGTCATTCTCTTATTCCTCCATAATCAATTCTCTTCTCCCTTCATTCTCATTATGTTGTTCTTCTTCACCTTTTTCTCATTAGGAGGAGAAATTTTTTAGAGAAAGGGTGGTGGCAAGCCTTCTTACCAATACTCATTCTTATCTCTCCATGATCATAAGAGAAAAAAATTTACCCTAGTAGAATTATCTCAAATTTGGAAGGAAACATATAGTAGGAAAGAAGGACATGAAGAACCAATGATGTGTTGAAGAGTCACATGAAATTGAGAGGTTCAACTCCGAGTTGATGATCAAGTTAGATTGGAGAAGCCATTATAGATCTTGAACATGATTTGCATGTAAAGGAAAATGAAGAAGGATCACCCTCCTCCTCATCAATTTTAGATGGATTCCTCTCACTTAGGTTATGATATAGATTTAAACTAGTATAGTGTTCATACATGTTGTAGGGTTGCAACTTGGTTTTTGATACGATGAATGTGTGTTAGGAATTAATGTTAGGAATTAGAATGTTGATTAATGGGATGTAAAAATTTCTATATTTTATGATGTATCTTGATGTGATAGACGTTTTCAAATCACTTGAGGTTAAGTGATGACAATTTCTGCAAGTATATTAGTTTCGTAGAAGTAATAAATTAAATTCGTCTTAATAGAGATTGCAAATTTTAACAAAGTAATGATAGGTGAATTAAAGTAAATAATAAATGGTAATTTTTTATTGATTTGATACAAAATAACACTGAGAAACTTTTTAGAATGAAATTCAATGATTAAAGGCGATTAAATCTTTAACTTCATTACTTATATCTATTAATGAACTATGTATTAATTGAAATTCTAATATATTAAAGTCCTGCGACGAATTAACAAAGCCACTGCTTCCAATTCTTTGGTGTACATTTCACTAATTTACACAATAATTCTCTAATTTATTAGGTCAATTCAGAGGTAAATTAGACATTCTATATTCGTTAATTCAAAAGGCACAACTTATAATTACATATTCTTAGTTAATTACTAAGTTGAATAATTTTCCTAGATCGAATTGATAGACTTACAGTAAATAATCCCTACTCATATGATATCGATTTGCACATTCGTCAACACACAAAAACATTAAAATCAAGAACAATTAAATAATAACAATAATATAAAAGAATATAATTAATCTCAAACAACCATAACATCCAACATAGTACTAGCAGGTTTGTCTCAAAAGATTTAATTCAAAGTAATCTAGCTACTCATAGTGATTATAACAATTACCATGAGTTAGGATGAAGAGTACATGAAATTAAAGGACTATCAATGTATTCAATGACTTACAAAACCCTCAAAATCCTTGCTTTAGAACTCTAAGCTGTCACTTTCTCTATCAAATTTGGAACCCTTCAAAAAGTAGTCAAAAGACCCCATTTATAGCAACTTCTACATGTCAAAGCAGCAGCATGGCGTCCGCGTTGGTGAGTATCGCGATCGCGATGTGACATCATCGCGGTCGCGTGAAAACCAGTGGAAAAATCCTCTATTTTTCTCCATTTTTTTTTTCAAATTTTCACTAAGTCCAAACATTCTTTATATTAGTAGTTTTTGCTCACTTCTCCACAGTTTGACATGAATTTTTCTCATTTTTCCAACGATTTCATCAGAAATTTCTCGAAAATATTATGTAATGACCGAGTGTCATCACAACCCCCAAACTTACTATGTTGCTTGTCCTCAAGTAACCTAGCTACACACTGAATATTTCATCAGATTTAAAATGCTTACCCTTACAATGAATGTCACCATTTTTATTTTTGTTGATCAACACTTTCGTTCCCTTCTTCAATCCAAGTAACTCATAAAGTATCTTCTGAACACATAAGTACTCAACTTGTCTCTTTTCTCACAAATATTCACGCAGTCAACGTACAAAAGCATTTACCAATGTGTTTTTAAAGTTTCTAACATAGTCCATCAAAGTCATATTTAAACACACAATTTTGAGGTATTTTCAAGGTTGTAACGTGCCTTTATGTCAAGGTAGGATAATTTAGGATAGTAGGTGTAATACCCTAATTTTTACCCCTAAGATCCCATATTTCATTTGCATCATTACATACGCAAACAAGATCATACTATTTGGTTCTCACACCCCTGTTGTTTCTTACTTGCTTTATGTTTGTTTCTATTTACTAACCTCTAACCAAAATACCAAAAATATTTTTCAATTGGCTTGTTTCTTCTTCTTCTCTGTGTGTTTAGGATTTTGCAAGAAGATTGATGGCAAGGACATTCATTCAAGTCTAAATAAAATGGAAGTTTGACCTCATCTTGGTCAAACTATCAAGAGATTGCTTCAAGTGCAAATTGGTTGTGGCAATGGGTTATTTTCTCAGGAATTGTGATTGTTCAAAGTCCAATTGTCCTGTATTGAAATCTATTGGTTTATCAAGCAGTGTTCTATGAGAAGTTTGGTCCAGACTATTATGGTCAAGGTTCATCAGTCCAGGTTGTGTTCATCTATGGATTTATTTTCCCAGAGATTAATTCAGATAAACTCAAAGAGATTCAATTTTAACTGAAGATTCAAAGGTTTGTCTGTACAAGTCAAGTTTGGTGAATATTCAATCAAGATGTTTTTATTGAGATGCGAGTACAAAGTATAGTTGTTGGCCTCTTAGTGATCCTCTTATTGCATATTCAATCATTGGTTGATTACAAGTTGATTTGGATTAATTTTTTATGGAGGTATTCATTCAAGTGTGCCATTCAAGTGAACTTAAAGCATGATTGAGGGATAGTTCCAAGATACATGGAAGTGTATGACATTTCTCTTGGAGAAAAGAAACCATTTGAGGTTGTCAACAAGAGTGATGTGTTGCCTCATTTTCCTCGTGCGAATGATGTTGGCCTTTCTGATGATAACTTTCCAAATCCATGGTTTCTTTGTGATGTATGTCACCATTCACTTAAGAGTAATGTTCATAATGTAGAACATAATAATAACAACTATGCTGCACACTGATGGGTGATGATGAGGAGAATGATTCAATGGCAAAGCCTAGTGTAATGTCTAGCGCCGTGTTTAACAAAATAATGTTGACTGTACTTAATGAAATGGATGGAATACTAAGAAAGTTGTTGAAGATTCCTTCTTCCGGGGGAAGATAACAGACCATGACAGATTTGATGGCCACAAAACAATGGAGGACTTATGGCCATATAGTGAAGTCCTACCTTGGAAATGCTCTCCACATTTTGAATCAAATGACTGACTCGCAAATGATATCATTTACTTTACACCGGCTTAAATATTCTTCATTGTTATTGGCTGCTTTTCCTTCGCTCCTAAGGAAATACATTAAGGTGGCTCTTCATTTCTGGGGTACTGGTGGAAGTGCCCTTCCGGTTGTTTCGTGCCTATTTATGTGAGAGTTATGCATTTGTATTGGATTTGGCTGCATAGATGAATGCTTCCAAAGGAATATATAAAGCGTATGTTTTGAATTGCCATTTTGTAAATACTGTGAAACTTAAACACATTCGTTTTCTTAACAACAGCGTCATTGAACTTCTCGGTGTGGATCTTCCAACTGCATATCAACATGCCTTCATTTTTATCCGACAGCTTGCCATGATTTTGAGGGACGCTCTTAATACAAAAAACTAAGGAAGTTTTTCGGAAGGTTTATGAATGGAAGTTCATTAACTG